GACCCATGACTCATCTCGAAAGGGTTAATACATGCATGAAAATGGTGCCAAGAGTTTTCTTATTTAAAGTACCTTATTAAGAAAAAATGTAAAGATTATCACAAATTTTATGCATAATATATTTAATTTCTATTTCTTGATGTTTAATATATAGTATATTTTTATTTTTTTTTGCAAAATATTTTAATAAACTTATTTAACATTTGTCTTTCACATCAGTTGAATATAAATTTTTTATATCAATATTTCAACATTAACAGTAAAATATTGTAATTTGTTACAAATTGTACAGAATCTGAGTGGTTGTGAATTTATATTGCTTATAATATAAAATATGGAACATTTCTGTTAGGATAGGGTAGGCTATATATTGGAAAGAAAAATTTATTTTATCAAAATATTTAAATTGATATCATTATTAAGTATTTCCAGATCTAAATAATGATAACTCAGTAGGAATTTTATTCCAGTATAATTTGTTGACTGTGTTACTATTACCTTATTAACTGTGATAATATTTAACATTTTAAAATTTTATTTAATAAGGCTGTTTAAACAAGAAAAATCTTGGCACTATTTTCATGCATGTATTGACATCATTAACACACATGAGTATACAAGCTCTTAAAAAAGGTAGAAAACAATCTGAAAATTAGCAGTTACGGTATTACAGTAGACTTTACAGGTATGAGCTTTTTTATTTCTCATTTATTTTTCATTTCTTTGCTTCTGAGAGCAGTCACCTTTTCACAACTGTCTGTAGGCAGTGAATGGTGATATAGATGTGGGATGTTATGGGCTTTAGCACTCACATCCCTCTTACTTTGTTTTTGTTATTTCACTATTGTTATTTTTTCTTCAGATATGAGGCTTTACAAATGGAGTTTATGGCTGATAGACAGTGAATCCCACTGCTATGTGGGTCTTACATCCAAAGTCACCTCCAAAAAGCAGGACATGTCTTATATCCCATATCATAGCTTGTGCCCTAGTGACTTTGTTTTTGGTTGTGCACCATTGTAATTTAGTCTTGCTGTTTTTAATGCAGTTCTATCTTTTGATGTAAATGTTAACTGTTTAAATAATATGTTTATGTTAACACACACGTAATGGAAATAATTAACCCCTAAATAAACATCATTTCCTTTATTAAATGGTGTTTTTCATGTTATTAATGGATTTGATACGGAAATGTGAAGTCTTCCTATTTTCAAAAACTTCTCCATGTTAGCACCTGGAGGGAGAAGTGACTTTTTCCTGTTTTGGGAGTCTTAAAATGAATTGTAGTTGTGTATATTTTGAAAATTTGTCATAGTTATTAGATGTGTATTAATTTATGTGATTCAGTAATTATAATATTTCCTTCTTTTCACTAAACATAATTGTAGATTTTTTGTATGTTGAGTAATTAGTTGAACTACACTATTGACAGAGAAAGGGCAGACTTTGCATGAAGAGGAAGAAGAAACAGCAGACAGCCCTACCCATGAATTTGTGAGTGATGCTTATGAAGGCAGCCATGTATCAGAAGAAGACATAAAAGAAGGAATGAAACAACTGGGAGTGGAAGGGAAAACAGAACAACCTTCAAACGGTATCAATTCTACATAATAACATATACTGGCAGGTCGCTAGCATTTTTAACACACTAAGTGACAATAGAAACAGTGTAATGAACCAAGAAGCTGCATAGAAATTATCATAAATTATAAGATAACTACTACAGATGAGTAAAAGTCGTTCACAATATAATAGTCGCTTAAGAATAAGATTCATTAATAGTAACATACGACTAAATTTAGGATAGACATTAATGTGACTAATGTCATAATTACTGTAAATAAGTTAATTACAAACAAGATAATTATTAACAGTAATAGTAATTACTAGTAATAATCTCAAGATAATCAATAAAATTAACTCTTTCTACTGATAGAAAAAATATTAAAGATAGAACTTAAAAAAACCAGTTTACAAAACTAAAAATAGGTTAACCACTGAACTTACTTGATTGAGTTACAGACTAAGCCTGTTGATGAACAGACTCTGTTGTATGGAGGCTATGTTCGTCATTACCCTTAGTTAGGATCTTCAAATAATTTAAAGGGACATCTATATCACACTTACCTAAAGTATATTCTACATTGCTTGTCTGATAAGCATTTTAACATTTGCTTGTTTGTTTACATTAATCTATAGCCATCTTATGGTGGAATGTTTTAGTCTTTGTGCAACAGTGGCAAGTAAATACTTAAATTACATCTGATATCTTAAATGTCTTTTTATTAAAAAAACAAGCTAAATGACATCCTGGTTTAAAAATACATCTCAACTGTTTGTATGGATAAAGTCGTGAAACAAGCTTATTCAGCTGTTTCTTTTTAACATGTATAACAGCTTTTCTCTGTAAACCAATAGTACAGATAACTTAGGAACTATATATTTAGGTTGTTTAGTTGTACTTACTTGTTTAGATAGTCATTTATTACTTTGCTTAATCCTCCCCACCCCCACCCCCAAGTGTGAAAAGATTTATGAAGGATGAGGGATATAATCATGCCTTTGTCGATTCATTTGTAGCCATTTACTTTTTTGCACAATTACTTAACTTCTAAAAAAGCAGATTCTAATCCAGCTTCATGGGTTACTTCCCTTAGGGATGAGGAAGAAGTAGAGTTGAACTGATATATCAGTAGGCTATTGGCCAGGCACTGTTAATAGGTGTATATAAAATTACATTATCGGCTGTCAGTTGTTCTAGTTGTTGTAGTCGATAAGGTACAATGATACTTTTTGTGGCATAGAATGTTGTAATGCAATTGAGACAAGAATGTATTTACTGTAGTATGCAATGTGCAATTGCTATCTTCTGTAGATATAGCTTTTGAAAAGCATGGTTTGGGATTTTTTAAAGTGTCTGAAAACAACAGGACAGCCTACATATGTGTGTGTGCTAAAAAAAGTTCACATGGAGGCAGCACCATTAAAGATGTCAGTACAACAAATTTAATTCACAACTTCAAGATAAGTCGCTTCTCTGCATACAATGATTTCCTACCAATGGCGAAAAAAAACAGAGAAAAATGAACATGCATCAAAGCAGCTGTCGTTACTTCAAGCTCTAAAACGTTCAAAGAAATTAGATCTTGAAGATCCAAGGGCAAAAGAAATTACACCTTTTAATGGAACTTATAGTTTTGGATGATAAATCATTTTCCGTTTTAAAAGATTCTCAATTATTCCACCTCATTGAATATCTGGAATTTTGTTACACACAGTCCAGCAGAAGGTTTGTTTGATACAGCACCATCAGAACTGTACAGTGCCATTTTAAAATGAACACAGGTGCTGCTTGAAGACGATCATGTATTGGCACTAGAGCTGGGTGATTTAATTTATGTGTAGCTATTATATTGATTAATGTCTCATAAATTAATTGATAACTCAAAGATACGATTAATCAAAATTATGATTAATCTATCAATAACATTCAATTATTGTTTCTGTTACTATTTTCGATTTTATGATTAAATTGATTGTCATGGAAATAATCAATTAATCAAAATTAGGATTTCTGATTGTTTATTATTTTTGATTATTCCAATTAACCGAATAACTGAAATACTGCCAGTATGTTTCTTTATTGTTAAGAGCAAAGCTACATAATGGGCAGGTGGGAGGGATGCTTTGTGATTTGAGGCTTTCAAGTTCAATTCCCATTGCCACTAAATTTGCTCATCCTGTCTATTATTGCGAAGCTGTTAAGGCTATCTGCCACTGTCACTAATTTTAAACTGCTGACTAGAGAGATGGCAATTAGCTGGTAACACCTACTATCAAAGTGTAAATTTACTGTTCTTTTACAGTATGTTTTGTTTCTAATTTACAATTGTATAATTGTATTTCTTAAGGAAGGGGTACAGACTACTCTCTATTTTGTTCTAAAAAATTAATAACTATATTCTTTATTGCTATATAAGCTTCTTCAGAAATTAATAATTATATCATTTAATATTGTATAAATGGGAGTGGATCTAGGGGGGGGGGTGACCCCTCCATTTGTTTTCAGAAATCATTAAAAAAAAACAGCCACATTGTAACAAAAAGAAATATTAAATGTCAGTATTTTTATTTGATTGTTCCAATAATTACCATAATAGATTTTTTCAGTTTTTCTTATGTCATTACAGCTGGACTCTATAATAACCTGGTTATGGTTTCAGCTAATAACTGAATTGTTTCTATAATAAAACGATGTGAATGTCATTTTAGCATTGCTTTGGCTTTTTCCATACCCATTAAAAATGCACATGGACTCTAGACTTTGAAATTTATTTTCATCAAAGTTAGTTTTGCTTAAGACAGGTTCAGCTCTTATAACATATACTTGTTACAAAATCAATTTTTCATTGTTTGGACAGTAAAATAATCACAGTAAAGATGTTTTTGCATTGTTGATGTCCAAAATAAGTGAAAATACAATTGCTATGACTCTTAAGTGATGACTTTGAAAAAAAATTTAAAACAGTAATTCTGTAAACGAATGATAAAATATGAATTTAGCTATAGACTATAATTTTTCTGTCCAAATGTAATTATAACTATTTAATTATTATTACATATTTAAGATGTTAATTGTTTTTATTTTCATATCCATCACCTTATTAGAATTAAAGATAAAAGTCTTGCAGTTGTTGGATTATAACCAATTTGAGCTATTCGTGATAAGGACTTTTATAGGCTTTCTAATTAATTATATTACTAAAATTACTAGTAATGTGTAGTTATAAGTAAAAAGAAAAGGAACAGCCAAATAATATAAATTTATCAGTAGTGCTATTAGAGGTTTAATTGGATCCCTCCCCTCTTACAACATCCTAGGTTGACCATGTTTTGAGCACCACTAAAGTAATATAACTTTATTAGTGGTGCTAGAAGAGGTTTAATTGGACCCTTTGTCTCTTACAACATTCTAGATTAACCCAGTTTTGAGTACCACTAATGTAATATAAGTTTATCAGTAGTGGACCCCCCCCTCTTACAAAACCCACTGAATGCTATTAAATCATATTTTCAAGTTACAAATTTTCTATCACTTTGAGTGCATGATACATTTTCATTTTTCCAACAGTTTAGGATGATCCAATTAACTTACTCCTAAGTTATTTTACCTGAAGACAGGATTTCCTCTAGCTTTTCACATATTTTCACCACAAATTTTTAAGGCAATTTTATATCTTAATTCTAACTGTATTTGAAGAATTTTAACTGAAATATTTTAGAATAAATGTTTTTTTTTATATTTTGACACTTCCTTATTGTAATTCTAGAAGGAAAATAGTTATTTTTACTTCTGCACAGCTGCAAAGAATTTTGCCTGTAAATAAAACAACTTGTTATTTTTTTTTCTGCTCTTCCCAAATAATAATGTTAATTTTACAAAGTACCTATCACCCCTGAGAATACATTATCCATTTCTTGAGTTTCAAGTATTAACCTTAATTTTTATACAGGATAGGAAGTCTTTTTTTTTTTTAGCAATGAAGAAAAAAAGATAAGATAAGGCATTTATTTAAATAAAATTTAATAGGTATTATTCAAAAGTTGTATAGAAATAGATAATGTAAAGTTAATTTGTGATAAGTATTGACATTTTAAACAAAAAGTGTATTGAAATTAAGATTAAATTGGATTACAGTTACACATAGTTATTCGTTTACTATTAATATTAGGCTTAAAGTTAAATTTTAGCGATACGTTTTTTTTAACTGATAAGGCATTTATTTTAAATAAAATTTAATAGTTATTATTTGAAAGTTGTTTAGTAATAGATTTCTTAAAGTTAATTTGTGATAAGTATTGATATTTAAAGTAAAATTGTATTAAAGTTTAAATTGGATTATAATTACACAGTTAATCATTTACTGTTATCATTAGGCTTAATGTTAAATTTTGGTTGTAAGATTATTAATTAGAGACAGGAGTGTGCTTATAATATTTATAACCTATTATATTATTATTTATATATAGAGATTAGTGTTGAATATAGTGAGCTAGTGAAGTTAGATCAAACTTGTTACACATTAGTACTAATAGTAATACTAGTAATAGCATGTTAAATGTAATCTTAACTTCATTACACTTTACACTCACAATTACACTCAACATAATTATCAGCTATGGTTAAGAATAGTCTAGCTACTAAGAGTTCTCAGTTGATAAAGTATGATAGATGCCAGAAGAGTGTTTTATTTATAAATTCTGGTTAAAGTGTACTTTTAGGGAGGCTAGTAGCCAGAATGTACAATTTATTTGCAGGGTGTGCAGGTTAGAGGAGAATTTGGAGGGATTTTTGGGTAGAGTTGCAGAGATGGAAAGGGAAAAATGTAAATTGTTTGAAGTGGTGGCAAGGCTTAGTAAAGAACTTAAACTTTTCCATGCAAAGAGTGCAGTTGGCAAATAAGATTTCAAGGGAGCAAAGAAAGGAAATAGGCTAACAGCTTGAAAAATAATGCACTTAGGGACAAGAATGGGCTTGGTTTTAGGTTAAGCAACCAGATCCAAGCACTTAGAGTGATGAGGTGGAGCAGGCAT